TTGCATATTTTCTCTCATTTTTATGTTGAATTCCAGGGTAATCTTTTAGATGATCTATTCAAAGTGTGATTATCTACTTGCTATTTTTGTTTTCTTTGCTGAAGAGGCATGAATCAGAGGCCTCTACTCAGCCAAGTCGAAGGGCCATGAAGCCATCTTACCAGAAATATTTTATATGAGAAAAATTTGAACTGTCAATGTATTTTCTTAAATAGTAGACATGACATACTTTATATCTTATAACTAGTTCATGCATTTTATCCAACATGATGAATTTATGGGCATAGCATTGTCCATGGTATCCCCTAATCATCCTTCAAATGCTCAGAGGATCCACAGTAGTGCCCCTGAATTATTCCTATGCTGTAAAATGTGTTCATTATTTTTTCCTTTGTCAAACTGATTAGAAAAGTATCATGTTTATTGATCTTTGTAGTAAAGCAGGCTTTGGTTTCATTAATTTTCTCTGTTATTTAATCTGAATTTTATGAATTTGTGCTTTTTCTTTTATTACTTCCTTCCCCTCCCCTTCATTTGGTTTAATTTGTTTCTCCTTTTCTGGTTTCTTAAAATTAGGCTTTTGATTGTGGACTTGACACATTTCTTCTCTTTAACATAAGCACTTGCTACTGCATATTTCACGGGTAGCACTGCTTCGGCTGCATCTGATCAAGTTTGATATGCTGTGTTTTCATTTTCCTTTAAATATTTTCTGATTTCTCTTGACATAATTTTTGGGGTTGATAGGCTATGTAGAAAAATGTTGTTTATATTACAAATATTATTAATTTACTAGGGCTGCCACAACAGACTGAGTGGCTTAAACAACAGAAGTTTATTTCTCACAGTGCCGGAGGCTACAGGTCCAAGATCAAAGTGTCAGTAGGTTTTTTTTTCTGTCCCCCTCCCTGTGGCTTCCCTTCTTTACCTGCTTGTGGCTGGCTTCTTGCTGTGTTCTTGCAAGACTTTTTTCTGTTCACCTGCATCCGGGTGCCTCTGTCTGTCCTAATAATCTCTTCTTATAAAGATATCAATCAGGTTAAATTAGGACCCACCCCAACGTCCTCATTATTTTAATTATTTTCTCAATGACTCTATCTCCAAATACAGTCACATTTTGAACTACTGCGGATTAGGGTTTCAACACATGAATTTTTTGGAGAGAAGGACACATTTTAGCCCATAACACAAATATTTGGGGTTTTTAAAATATATATTTCTTAATACTGATTTTCTAGTTTGATTCTGTAGTAGTCTGAGAATACAATTTGTGTAATTTAATTTTTTAAATTTTGTTAAGGCTTATTTTATCCCCAGAATATTATCCATTATGGTGAATGTTCCATGAGCACTTGGCATGAATGTGTATTCTGCCATGGTTAGGTGGAACGTTCGGTAAATGTTAATTAATAAAAGTTGGCTGACAGTTTTATTTAGGGTTTCAATATCCTTACTGATTTTTCTGATCACTTGTACTATTATTTACTGAGAGAAAACTGTAGAACTCTCTAACTATAACTGTAGAGTTGTCTATTTATCTTTTTAGTTTTATCAGACTTTGGGTCTCATCCTTCAGAGCTCTCTTGTTAGATGCAGATATCAGATTGTTGTATCTTCTTGGAAAGTTTACCTTTTACTATTTTATAATACTTTGTCTTTATGCTTGGTAATAGCTCATGTTTTAAAATCTTATATTATTAATATAGCTACTCCTGATGGGTTTTGGTTGTTAAAATGGTTGCTGTGGTTACCCTCAGTGCATTTTGAGCCTTTAATTCTTTGTTATTTTGTGTTTAGAGTAGGGGATGGTTGGCCAGAAGGTTTTTCTCAATGTCTATTCCACTCTCAGCTCCCAGCCTGCCTTTTGTGCACGTGTGTCCAGGAGAGTCTCTCTCCGCTCCTCTCTATCAGCAGTAACTTGCCGTTAGATGTTTCTCAGTGCTTGTTGACCTGGCAGTGAGGGTGGGAGGAACATGTCCTCGCTGCTCTGATTTCACGTGTGTATCAGTCTTAAACACGCACTGTTTCCCTGGCTCCCTGACACGGGGCCTGTTCAGCGATCCCATCTTTTTCACTACTGTCAGATGACTTCTAATGGTCCAGACTCGGTGAAATTTATGCTCCGTGGCAGAGGTAGAGATTTTTTCTTTTTTTCTTTTTCTTTCCCTTGGTCTTCACAGTACCCTAAGGGCAACAAACTTTTTGCTCTTCCAGGTTGTTAAAAGCTTTTGCTTCCTTAGAGAGATGAGGAAGATGGATCTGGGCAGGTCTTTGTCCCTTGACTGTAGTGGCTGTTGTGCCCTTCCT